AACAGCTACGTAGGTGGCTACGAAGCTTTGCCAGGGTGCAAGAAATATGAGAGAATGCATAAGACACAATTCACAGCAATCTTAGTAAGTAATAACTCCAAAAACCAAAGGTAAAGGATGCACTCCACAGCCCTTCCAGGACCTCCTCACCAGCAGTATGATAGATATACATCTCTCAAATCTATGAGCTGCATTCAGTTTTTAAACTGAAGGGTCCAGTGAGAGACACCTTACACAAGGATTCCCATCCAAATTAACATCCACGAACTGAAGCATCTGTAGAATTGGCATAAAGTTCGGGTTTCAGCAGAATTGGGTGGCGGTCGACCGGCCCGGTCGACCGCATTCGTGCACAGGAGTTATTGGGCTTCAGGATTGGTGGCGGTCGACCGATCCGGTCGACCGAATCTATGGGCGGTCGACCGTGTCGGTCGACCGACGACCTCTCTGGACATTGGGTTTGCTGCTGGATGGAGGGCGGTCGACCGTACCGGTCGACCGCCGCTGCGGTTTTGAGTTGGGCATGTTTTCAGACCCGCTTCGTTTTGGATTTGTATAAATACCCTTTTGGGTGTTTTTAGGGTTAAGAGCAAGGACGAATTTGAGCAGAGCAGTCGACCGGTCCGGTCGACCGCGATGGATCGCGGTCGACCGTACCGGTCGACCGCCGCTGCGGTTTTGAGTTGGGTCTGTTTTCAGACCCGTTTCGTTTTGGATTTGTATAAATACCCTTTGGGTGTTTTTTAGGGTTAAGAGCAAGGACGAATTTGAGCAGATTGAGAGAGTTTTCTTTGGGCTTCTATTCTAGGAGCAATTGGAGAGATTGAGAGTTGATTGTTGAGGGTTTATGAGAGATTTGTAACCCTAGTTTGTTCCTCTTGATTTCTAATAGTGAAAACTCCCCCCTCCTTGCCCCGTGGACGTAGGCATCTTGTCGAACCACATAAAATTGGTGTTTGGTTGTTTGTGCTATTGATTTGGTTGGTTCTTTATCTTTTTCGGCGATTGGTTTGTTTTCTCGAGGCACAACAATTGGTATCAGAGCTCCGGGCTACGCTTGGGCTATTTTGGAGGAGTAGATCGCTTTGGAAGTTCATCTAGGGCTTCGTTTGGTGATAAAGGTGGGATCTTTTCAGTAAAAATCTCGTCTTTTTCAATTTGGATCTATTTCTCGTTTGTTTCCGCATTGGTTTGGTGGTGCTTTGAGATATATGGCTGAAAAAGATAAAAGTGGGGAGGGTTCTTCTGGTGTGAAGGCCGTCCAAAGTTTGAATATACATTCTATGAAAATAGATGTGGAAAAGTTCAACGGCACAAATAATTTTGGACTTTGGCGATGCGAAGTCATGGATGCGCTAAATGCGCAAAATTTGGAAGATACATTGGAGTTGGACGGGAAACCGGCCGACATTGATGAAAAGGTTTGGAATAAAATGAATAGAACGGCGTGTGGTGTGATTAGGTCTTGCCTTACCCAAGACCTTAAATATGATGTGATGAATGAAACTTCGGCAAAGAAGATTTGGGAGGTCCTAGAGGGCAAATATTTGACGAAGAGCATCGAAAATCGTTTGCATTTGAAGAGGAGGCTTTATCGCTTCCAATTGAAGAAGGGGACATCCATTAGTGATCACATGAACCACTACACGAAGCTACTTGCAGATTTGGCGAATGTAGATGTCAAGGTTGAAGACGAGGACAATGCATTGTTGTTATTGAGTTCCTTGCCCGACGAGGAATATGAGACCTTCGTCCTCACTCTTATTAATGGAAAGGCATCACTTTCGTATAGTGAGGTCACCGCAGCCCTTGTGAATTATCAACTTCGAAAGAAGGACAAGGAGACTTCCATCGAGCCGGTTGCTGGTGCATTGGTTGCAAGAGCTAGAAGTCTAAACCGTGGAAGAAGGTCACAGTCTAGAGGGGGGCATCCTGCAGTTGGTAGGAATTAGTGTGCCTTTTGTAGAGAGGATGGACATTGGAAAGCCGAATGCCCAAAATTGCAAGCTGTGAAGAATAAAGGGAAAGCTACTCAAGCTTCAGAGGTGAATATTGCCAAGGCTAGTGGCGATGTTTCAGATTCAGATTCTTCGGGCTATTCGTGCCCAGCTCTTCCGTCAGTTGATGTTGCCGACTCCACCGAGTGGATGTTGGATTCTGGTGCTACTTACCACATATGCCCTAGAAGGGATTGGTTCTCCAGCTTTCAGGAGTTGGAAAGAGGGGATGCTGTTCTCATGGGTAATGATCACAGATGCCCTATTGGTGGTATTGGTACCGTTCGGATTCGGATGAGTGACGGGATGATCCGGGAGTTGGCTGATGTGAGGTTCGTTCCTCAACTGAGGAAGAACATCATTTCACTTGGGGTATTGGAGGCATCAGGCTATAGGGTGATCTTGGCGGATTCTCGCTTGAAGGTCACATCGGGGTCCATAATTGTGATGAAGGGAGTCAGGCGGAGTAACTTGTATTATCTACTTGGGAGCACGGTAGTTGATAGGGCGCTGACTACTTCTATGGCTAGACTGTGGCATTGTTTGGTGCTGGGATATATTGTTGGTTATACCGTGCACAGATTGTTGAGGAGTGCTATGACCTGCAGATTGAAGTCCTGTGAGCACATTGGTATGAGCGAGAAGACCGAGGTGGAGTTCAGCACTTCTATCCATCGATCGAGAGGTCTTATTGGAGGTGTTCAGTCAGGCATTTGGGGGCTTTCCGAGGAGGCATCATCGGGAGGTAATCGTTATTTTGTTTCCTATGTTGGGGATTGTACTAGGCATATTTGGGTTGCAACCAAGTCCGTTGGTATAAAGACCTAGTAGTCCGCAACAGTTGGAGGAGGTGTATGGGCAGAAAGGTTACCAGTCGTACTTATTCTAGTAGGAGTCCTTTCTTGCATTGGTGCCGAGCTCACGGCAGTTGGAGACACTTCAGAGGGAAGGAGACAGTGGGGCGACGTGATGAGATGGCGGATTTAGTGAGCCGTTCCTTTCTGGAGGAGGATCGGTATTGGTTGTCGAGCAGTGGATCTGGTATTCAGGCTTCGACAGGTTTGGGTCATCTTATATGGTTGCCGACTGCTGCGTGTAGAGTTGTTAGATCTGGTGGAGCTGTTTCAGATTTTGGTCGGCGTTGGATATTTGACTACCCAGCACTTGGTCACATCGTTGATGTGAGTTTGGATCCGATTGCGCAGTTGGGATTCAGGAGTTCATTTGGTTATCAGTTGGGAGCTTCTGAGTTTAGTCTGAGCAGGTTTGTCACTTTGGACTCTCGACAGGTGGAGAGTATTGATCAGGTCAGAGGGATATCGCAGCAGGTAGAGGTTGATGCTACTCCACATTGGGTGGGGATTTTCCCACATACTCCAGATCATTCTGCATTGGTTGGGATTCCAGCTAAGGTGGCACAGCGTGGGAGTCATTTATTTATGGGTGCAGATGATGAGGTAGTTTATTTGGATGCAGCTGATGGATATGTTTTGGATACAGCCATTGTTACATCTCAGGTGGAGGTGTTTGGATCACTTCAGTTTGAGGTCGTTGATGATGCTATCAGCCGCAGGTTGGATTGAGGGCCTTTGGAGGCCCATATGGTGAACTACGTGAAGGCTTGATTCCTTGGGCAAGAGGATACGTAGGCAGTCTTTATGATGCAGCTGATTTGGTAAGCGACATCGACATTTGGGGTGAGTGTTCGCACTCCCATTTGGGTCTCAGCAAGTGAGGCAATTAGTGTAGTCGTTGTAAGCTCAGTTGTTTGGTGAGTAGACACTGTTGGTTTGGGGTTGAGTGTTCGCACTCCTGTTTTGGATCTCGACGTGTTGTGATTGGAGTTCGTTGTCATGAGTCCGTTGCCATGGCATACTGGGTGCAACAGTTGAGGTATTGGTTTGATCGGTGTCGGCTCAGTTTTGGAAGAATCTTCGCCGAGGTGGAGATTTGAAGAGATAAGCTCAGGATTCAGGATTGTCAGGGTGGCGGTCGACCGGCCCGGTCGACCGCATTCGTGCACAAGGCTTCCTGTGCGTCTGGAAGGAGATCGGTCGACCGGTGCGGTCGACCGACGGTTCTCTGGAGTTTGGGTTTTCTACTGAGAGCTGGTCGGTCGACCGGGCCGGTCGAAGGCTGTTCTGGGATTGAGGGCGGTCGACCGCGATGGATCGCGATCGACCCCCACGGTCGACCGCCGCATCGGTTTCGGGTCTGGTTCTGTTTCCAGACCCGTTTCGTTTGGGATTGGTATAAATACCTAGAGGGTGTCTCTAGGGTTTGAGAGCAGGAGATTTGAGCTGTTGAAAGGGGTTTTCTTTGGGCTTCTATTCTAGGAGCATTTGGAGAGATCAAGAGTGAGTTGTTGTGGGTTTTTGGTGAAGATTTGTAACCCTAGTTTGTTCCTCTTGATTTCTAATAGTGAAAACTCCCCCCTCCTTGCCCCGTGGACGTAGGCATCTTGCCGAACCACGTAAAACTGGTGTTTGATTGTTTGTGCTATTGATTTGGTGTGTTGGTTTATCTTTTCTCGGCGATTGGCTTGGATTCTCGAGGCACAACAGCATCAACAAAGTTTAGACATGCAACCTCCACCCCTACTTAGCACGTGGACTATCTTCCCCCTAATGTCCGAAAATATAGTCTTCACTAGAATCACTGCTCACATAATCATGACATTTAGCTCTGCTTGGAGCATGGATTATATAAGAGAATGGAAAGAAATGGTGAAGAAATTGTCTGGACCCGGCATGTCCTACAATATTACCAAGAACTAGAGCAAAATTCTTCACTAGCCATTAACTTATGTCTGATACTGTGGAAAGCAACTCCCTAACCAAACCCAAACATCTTTCTTCAAATCGCAGCATCTTACGTACGAAGCACATGGCTTTGTTTCCTCTCCCAAACTGCAAACAAATTTCTACAGCTTATCATGGGTCCGCTCCAAATTTCTATAAGTACGCAGCTGCCCTGCTACTCATCCCATCACAGACACAGACTCAGAAAAGTAGAATTCGAAATAGAGTGATATCGAGATATCAACAATGGTGAACTCCAAGAAGCTGATTGAGATGGCAAAGAAGTGGCGAAATGTGGCTGCGTTGGCCAAAAGGATTGGGGCACAGACTGACGCTGAACTAGATTCAAACGTGTGCAGCACATCTTTGGCAGAAAAAGGCCACTTTATTGTATATACCTCAGATGCGAAGAGGTTCATGGTTCCTTTGAGATATTTGAAGAGCATTATTTTTGTAGAACTCTTAAAGATATCTGAAGATGAGCATGGGCTACCACGTGACGGTCCGATCATAGTGCCTTGTGATGTAGTGTTCATGGAGTATAGTCTATCTTTACTCGGAAGACGAGGGTCTAAAGCTATGGACAGGGTGTTGTTAAATACTGTATTCAAGCACCGTCATTCTCCTTGCTCTTCGCAGACTGTAGGGTTGAATCAACAAGTTGTATGTAGCTTCTGAATGCCATATTCATTGTAAAGAGTTATACTTTTGTAGTTATGTTTTGATACTATTAATGATTCAGCTGCCTCGAGCGTGAGAAATATTCAGCTTTCATCTGGAATTCCTTACAATTACGTAGTAAATATTATTAGAAATATCCTAGTTAAAAATTTCAATCGCGAGAATATATATATTTTAACCTCCGCATCCTTAGAAGTTAACATGTGAAATTAACCCCAAAAGAAAGATCACGGTAAACTCTCTTGAAGGTATTCTAGTTTGATAGAATATGGTTGTTATGTAGGCACGGTGATAGTCTCGTTGACTATATCATAATATCTGTAATTCAATGAAAAATGACAATTTGATCATCCTTTTTCTGATTACGAAACAATTAGTCTTTTTAAGACTACCATTAAAGCCATTATTAGGTAGAGATCTTTTTTGTCAATTGTTAGATATAAGTTTTGTCAAAGGTGAAAGGACGCTTTCACTTCACCAAAACCCTAAAATTGTTAGATATAAGTTTTGTCATAGTTTTATATTCTAACAAGTTTTTTGAACACATAATTAATATGTGTCTATAAGGATTACCATTTAGACACATTTTATAGTCGACAAAATGTTACCACCTCATTTTAGTTACACCTTTTACACTACAATATTCAATTTCCTTTTAGAACATATTGCTTGCACAACATCTCTAAAGAGAAAATTTCTGAGAGAATTTTGCATCATGCACGCTACACAAATTTTACACGGATACAGAGTCCCTTACAATTACGCAGTAAATATGGGTACGTAGTTTAAACTATAAAATGATCATGTTTTTGTAACATTTTGTGCAAGTGCATTGAGAACTTGCTAGACGTTTATCTAAAAAAATCAGGTGTAATTCCCTAGATTAGACTCCGAAGATGACAGTAAAAACATAACAATCTTATCTCATAAAAGTTCCATTGTCACTGTCATTGCTGATTCTTTGACAAATGATATGTACCATCCAGTTTCCAGTTTCACCTATTGTAAATTCAGTTCCTGCAAAAAAAAAAAATGTAGTCAGTTCAAGTTCCAATTTGCAGACAAGGAGTTTTGAATTTAACAAAAAGAAAAGAAGTGGCACCTTTTCTAAAATCATCAGTAGTAATTTTACTTTATTTCACCAATAAGCCTAGAATAAGTATACCAAAAAATTGGAGAAAAAGCGCCCCTGTACAACAAAGTTTTTGACGTTGCACATGGATTTCTAGATTAGTCACAGCTTGCTTATATATGGGAGAATGCTCTGTAATCTTCTGCATTACTAACTCATGTGTCTTCCCACTCTCATAAAGAGCTTCAACAATGGCAAAAGGAGTACTATTCCTTCTAAAACACAAGACAGGAGCAGCACTCCACTTGCTAAACAAAATATGCAATCATAGTAGACAAATGCACATGACGATGGCCTTTCAAGGATCCTTGTATCAGCAGCATGATCTATATTCATCCATCAACTCTATGAGCTTTATTCATTTGCTAAACAAAGGGGTCCATCGAGATAAGAAAATGGTTTACCAGTCACTGACTAGTGTCTTATACTATCGAAAACAACTTCCCAACCAAATCCAAACATATTACTTCAAATCTCATCTTCTCATGTACGAAGCACATGGCTCTGTTTCCTCTCCTAACTTCCATACAAACTCCTACAGCTTGTCATGGGGCCACTCTCTATTCCTATAAGTATACGACCACTCTGCAACTCTTCTCATCAAATACGCAGCTTCACAATCTAGAAATCAAACTATTTCTTCTCAAACTTTGATATCTACATTCAACAATGGTAAACTCCAAGAAGATCGTTGAGATGGCGAGAAAATGGAGAAAGGCAGCTGCCTTGGGCAAAAGGGTCTCCTCAACCCAGGCTGATGCTAAATTAGATTCCAATGCTTGCAGTACACCAGTTGCAGAAAAAGGCCACTTTATTGTATACACCTCAGATGCGAAGAGGTTCATGGTTCCCTTGAGATTTTTGGAGAGCATTATTTTTGTAGAGCTCTTAAAGATGTCTGAAGATGAGCATGGGCTACCAAGTGATGGTCCTATCATATTGCCTTGTGATGCTGTGTTCATGGAGTATATTCTATCTTTGCTCAGAAGACGAGGGTCTAAAGCAATGGACAGGGTGTTGTTAGACACTGTATTTAAGCACAGTCATTCTCCTTGCTCTTCGCAAACTGTGGGGTTGAATCAACAAGTTGTGTGTAGCTTCTGAATGTTCAGATTCTTTGTAGTCAGTGATACTTGTGTAATTAAATAGTAGATAATATTGATTGACAAATTAATTACGGATGTGATGTTCCATGGTCAATTTTCTTAATAGTTTATAAAATTTATTAGATGTTTAGTCTCTAAAAAAAGGCCTAATTGCCTAGATTAACCCCCAAAAATATCGTATAAGGAGATAAAAAGAAAACGATAGTTATAAATATTCAAATTTATTCTCAATTGCTTAATGCTACAACACTTAATTCCACCTAACTATTTGGAGTTCAGAATTGCAGAGCATGTTCTGTGTACAATGACTTTGGACATTTCAGCAAAAGAGAAGAAGTTGTCTCTTTTCTAAAGTTACATACAATAGTAGTTTACCTGATTTCACCTAGAATCCTAGAAGAGGAGGGGGAAAAAAGAGGACAAAGAAATAAGCAAACGCAATGATCCAAAGAGAGATTTGCCTTTCTGTATAAAATACTTTCAGGTTGTAATGACAATACCCATGTTGCACAAAAAAATGACAAAAAGTTTGATATATTACTACATAGACCCATGAGGTAGCATTAAATATGAAGACATGCTCCGTTACAAAGAAAACTGAAAAGAAAATGACAATACATAGGTAATATATTTCCGGTCATTTTCTGAATTACTAACTTATGAGTCCTTTTCACTGTAAGAGCTTGAACAATGAAAAAAGAATCTAGTGCTCCTCAAAAATAAAAAGATAAGAGCTACACATAGACCCCATGTAGTGTAATTGCTTTGCAGTTACTGCCACTGTAAATAGATGCCCTAGGTTATTTTGAATCTTTTACGCCTAGTAAAATTCTGACAGGTATTTCCCTGGGTAAAAGTAGCGAGTCAATCTGGATGTAAAAAAAAAAAAAAAAAACATGTGTCTAATTGTTAGTTTTAAAATTGAAGGAGACAGAAATTCTGAGGCGTGAAACACTTTTCTTAAATAAATATTTGCCCCCACTTGATATTCAAAGTTGCTTCGGGTTAATGCAAATTTTCTTCCCAGGATACAACAGAAAATAAAAATTCCAGTAAGCAAATCTGGAATTTTCCTTAATTCGTTGTGAAACAAGTTTGTAATATTGCAGAAGTTTTTGATAGAAAAGATTCAGAAAAGAATTGTAAATAGACATCTGAAAACATAAACTATTTATAGGTTTTGAAAAGGTGCTTCCAACAGCACATTTGCTATATCCACTCCCAAACAGTAACTTTGGGAGTGGGATTGCCGAAAATACCCTTTTGTGTGTGCAATAAATTTTTACTTTTGTGTGAGCATTAAATCCGGTTGGCTTCCAAAAATTTGTACATTTAATGTGGACTATTGATTAAATGTGGTACTAGATTGGCATTGTATTCTTGCCATTTAATGTGACTGTAGTAATAAATTTTGTACATTTAATGTGGACTACGGTTTAGATGCCCAGATCTTGGTTAAATTTTGTACATTAAATGTACATTAATCTACTTTTGTGACCGTAGTTATATTCCAAAAATTGGCTTCAAATAAATTTCGTCGATGCTCAATGTGACCGTAGTTATATTCCAAAAATAATGTATTCTTGCCATTTAATTGTATTAATCTAATTTTTTTTATAACACTTCAATGATTTTTTTAATAACACTTAAAAAAAAATTTATGACCCACGGATTATAAACCGACACGGATTATAGTCTAACACGGATTTTAAATACACAATTAAAATGGAATTAGTTAATAAAACAAAAAAAAAATTATAACCCACCGGACTGTTTTTTTATTAATATCGCTGAAAACAAATTTAATTGTTTTTTTATTAGTCTAACACGGAATTAGTCTCCATGACCTTAATGAGAAGTCTCCATTTTTGTCCAACACCTTGTTTTTTTGAAACAGTTAAATTGACCTTGTTATTTTATTAGTCTAACACGGAAAACAAGGTCAATTAAACAAAAAGGATTGTGGACTCAGAATTAATGAACCGAATTAATGAACCTTAATGAGAAGCATTTAATGGTTGATGTAAGCTTAATTAACAATAAAGGGCAATTTCGTCCATCCACCACCCAAAGTTACTGTTTGGGAGTGGATATAGTTGGACCCTTCCAACAGTCACAACCTTTCAAAACACCCCTTAGAGCAAACAGCCTTTTTTCAACAGTCACTTGTCTTTTCATAATTTTTTAAAATTCAAAATAACATTTTAAAAAATAAATATTCAATATATATATAAAATAAAACATTTAAGTGTGCAAAGTGCTAAGTGCGTCTAATAATCGCGCTACCCGCACACGGGTTTAGAAGCCTATACTTTGATCCATTATTCAAAGCCAAATAAGCATTCAATGCTTTTAAACCTTTAAAAGAATGTTCAAAATTCCAATGTGGGACTATCTTGTTTTTTACAAACAAATACTAACACTAATTGCCATGATAAAACTACAGGGTACTAAGTTCAAAACAACCATAGTACATGGGTCTATGTGCAATTAACACAATAAAATATGCAGACAACAGTGACAAAGGCACATGTTTGTGGCCCTTCAAAAATCCCTACATCAACATCGAGATCTATATTCTTTCGAATCTATGAGCTGCATTGATCAGTTGCGAAACGTAAGGGACCACGGCGCCACGCCCATCTCATGAAGCCAAGCAGTAGTAATGATTCAGAAATGTAACATCCGCCTCCAATTGGCACATGGACAGTCTTTGTGTCCCATGCCTCTATGTATAAGCTTGACGGCTCCATTTCTTTCAATTCAAGGCATATACATAATCTTTATGATTTGTGACACATTAGTATACCAAATAACAAGGACAAATTGTTATGATAAACGTTAAGAATTAAAGTTAGTTGAAGTGTTCAACATACATGTTAACATTTGAGGTAAAATGTTTCTTTACTTGATATAATTTCATTTATATTGTTACATTACAAGCAACCACTTAACCTTTTGGGTAATTGATTCTTGACCCTCAACCCATCAACCCTCGTCTTATAATTCTGTTATCTGTCAATGCGGGAAGGGCTCCTGTGCCATCATTGTCAGCATTCAATGAGCAACAGAACGCACTACAACAAAAGGTGTAAATTGTAATACATTTTTTGTCTCCACGCGACACATGTTTTTGTTGCACAAATAAAGCGCAACACATACCAAAAGTGTGTGTAGAGCATATGTGGAGAGCGTCTTTCTGCACATGTAAGAATGTGTCGTAAAACTTATGACACATACATGTGTTATAAAATTTGCATTATATACATGTGTCACAAAACTCACGACACATATATTTGTCGAGAGTGGTGACACATGTATGTATCACAAAACTCGTGACATATATATGTGTCATGAGTGATGACACACAGTTGTGTCTAGACCATAAAAGTATAAAGAGTACGTACCACACCATTCAACACTATAACTTCCCAAAAGGTCACCCATTCTAAAATTACTCTCACCAAAACACACTTAACTGTAAAGTTGTTTGCCTTATACACTATTATAAATATTTAATCATCAATGTACTAAACATCTAAGGCTTGTTATTTAAGCCCATCATAGATCGTCGCACAACCTTTGTGGGGCTATTAGCCTTTTTCAATTTTATTTTATTTTATATCTAATAACACAAATATTTGTCGAGATTTGCCATACTTATTATTTGCGGCATTGTTGTTTAATCCTTTAAAATAAAATGACACTTTTATATGTATCATAAAATAAATGTGAACACATGCAACTTTTATTATAGTGACGTTACTACATTTGTTTTTTGAGTGTTTTTTTAACACGAAGGTGAAATACCTCTATAATTGTACATACAATTTCGTCGGTATAAGTTTTAATCCAACACATAATGTCGTAGCTCAAACATTTATTTGGCTCCCTCCACTTGAAGCATTTGAATGGACCTGGCAATTCCCGTCTTAGTATTTTCAAGCATAAGAGAAGAGAAATGCTCAGTATCCATACACTGATGTCTTGCCCATTGGATGGCAACACCCCAGCCAAATCCAAACATCTCTCAGCAAATCTCATCTTCTCATTCGTTAAGCATAAGGCTCTGTATCCTCTCCTAAATACCATACAAATATCTCGACAACTTGTCATGGGGCCATTCTTTATTCCTGTAAGTGCACAGAAGAACAGATACTCTCTTCATAACATCCAAAGCCAAGAAACTAGAAAGAAAAGAATTTATTAGATTGTTTCTCAAGTAGCAATCATGAATTCTAAGAAGCTTATTGAGATGGCAAGAAAGTGGCGAAAGGTGGCTGTCTTAACCAAAAGAATCTCTTCAGCTAAGAATGATGCTCAGCTTAATTCTGATGCATGCAGTACATTGATTGCCGAGAGAGACCACTTCATCGTATATACCTCCGATGCAAAGAGATTCATGGTTCCTTTGTCATTCCTTGAAAGCACTATCTTTGTAGAACTCCTCAAAATGTCTGAAGATGAGCTTGGACTACCAAGTAATGGTCCTATTGTATTGCCCTGTGATTCAGTGTTCATGAAGTATGTTCTATCTTCGCTAAGAAAACGAGGGTCTAAAGATATGGACAGACTGTTGTTAGATTTTACAATCAAGCATCTGTCAGCAGCCTCAGCCGCCCACGTTCCTTTGACATCAGCCGTTTTTAACTTTGGATAAAGGAGCGGGCCCCACATCATTATTATAATATAAATGTATAGTAATTTATTATTATTTTATTATGCATGGTGTTTTTCAAAATCCTATAAATAGGCTCCAAATCCTTAAGGAAATCTTATCCCAGAAACAACTTTTATATAGAAGAGTGAGAGAGAAAAAAAAACAGAGTGAATTTCTCCTTGTAAAGAGAGAGAGTTTGTAACTCCAGAGTTTTCTCATCATAGTGGTTTCTTCTATCCTTGCCCGTGGACGTAGGCAATCAAGTGCCGAACCACGCAAATCTGTGTGTCTAACTTTTTATCTCTATTTTGCTCTACTGTTGCTGCGATCCTGCTTTATTAGGCCCCGGGTTTGTCCCAACAAGTGGTATCAGAGCCAACTTAGGGTGCTTGTATATATCTACTTATCGTATGCTCTGTGGCTGTCACCAAAGGTGGATCCTGCACATCAGAAAATAAGTTAGGTTATCATTCACCCTTTGAAGGTGATGGGTACTATTCACGAATGCAGTACTGTTCAAAAATACGATATTATTCATAAGTACGGTACTATTCACAAATACAGTTACTATTTATGTGAAATAGTAAGAAGTTACTGTTCGTGATAGAAGCAATGGCGGCAAAGTTCAAGATTGAGAAATTCGACGGGAGTAATTTCTCACTGTGAAAGTTGAAGATAAAGGCTATCCTGAGAAAAGATAATTGCCTGACGGCCATTAGTGCAAGGCCAGATGACATCACAGATGATAAGAAGTGGAACGAGATGGATAAAAATGTTATTGCAAATCTCCATCTGGCATTAGCAGACGGGCTGCTGTCAAGCATAGAGGAGAAAAAGATGGCAAAGGAGATCTGGGATACTCTAACAAAGCTATATAAGGCGAAATCCATGCACAACAAAATTTTCTTAAAAATGAGACTTTACACTCTGAGGATGGCGGAATCTACATCGATGACCGACCACATTAATACCCTAAACACATTGTTCTTCCAACTCACAACGTTGGGGTATACAGTTGGTGCGAATGAACGTGCAGAACTTCTATTTCAGAGTCTATCTGACTCGTATGATCAACTCATCATCAACCTGACAAACAACGTCCTCACAGACTATCTAGTTTTCGACGACGTTACAGCCGCTGTTCTGGAGGAAGAAAATCGGCGCAAGAACAAGGAAGACAGCCAAGCAAGTTCGCAGCAAGCGGAGGCTTTGTCGGTGATGAGAGGAAGATCAACGGAACGTGGCTCCAGTGGGAGTCATGCCCATGGTAGATCGAAATCACGAAGTAAGAATAATATCAAATGCTACAACTGTGGTAAAAGAGGGCACGTCAAATCAGAGTGTTGGCACAACAAGAAGAGTGGAGATAAAAAGACTTTAGAGCCATCAACATCTCAAGGATGCATTGTTAGTACGTCAGACGATGGTGAAATTCTATTCAGTGGAGCAATCAGTGTTGATGAAGGCAGAAAGAAGTTTGCTGATGTCTGGCTTCTAGATTCAGCAGCCTCCTGACACATGATCTCTCGGAGAGAATGGTTTCACAAATATGAACCTATCTCAGGAGGATCTGTATTCATGGGGAATGATCATGCCTTGGAGATTTCTAGTATTGGTACTATCAAAATCAAAATGTTTGATAGTATAATACGCACCATTCAAGATGTGCGACATGTGAAGGGCTTGAAGAAGAATCTATTATCTTTGGGACAATTAGATGAGCTCGGGTGCAAGACTCATATAGAAAAGGGAATCATGAAGATTGTTAGAGGGGCGTTTGTGGTGATAAAAGGAGAAAAGATAGCTGCAAATCTGTACATGCTCAAGGGAGAGACTTTGCAGGAAGCTGATTCATGTGTGACATCAACCAGTCATGGAGAAGAACAAACCATGATGTGGCATCGCAAGCTAGGACACATGTCAGAACGAGGCTTGAAGGTTCTCTTCGATCAGAAACTACTTCCTGGACTTAATTAAGTAGCTCTTCCATTCTGCGAGCATTGTGTTACAAGCAAGCAGCATCGACTGAAGTTCAACACATCGAGTTCTAGAAGCAAGGCTATTCTGGAACTGGTTCATTCTGATGTATGGCAAGCACCATTTACATCCTTAGGAGTAGCAAAGTACTTTGTGTCCTTTATTGATGATTACTCCAGAAGATGTTGGGTGTATCCTATCGAGAAGAAGGCGGATGTGTTCTCAGTCTTTAATGTCTATAAAGCGCGGGTCGAGCTTGAATCTGAGAAGAAGATCAAGTGCTTGAGGTCAAATAATGGAGGAGAATACACAGACGGTGAATTCCTAGCATTCTGCAAGCAAGAAGACATCAAAAGACAATTCAGTACGGCTTATACTCCTCAACAAAATGGAGTGGCGGAGCGGATGAACAGAACTATGTTGGAAAGAACAAGAGCTATGTTAGCAACTGTAAATCAGGATAAAGTATTTTGGGCGGAAGCAGTAAAAACCGCCTGTTATGTGGTGAATCGATCTCCATCAACTGTAATACAATTGAAGACGCCGATGGAGATGTGGACTGGCAAGCCAGTTGATTATTCTAACCTCCATATATTTGGAAGTCCAGTGTACGTAATGTACAATGCCCAAGAAATTACAAAGTTGGATTCAAAATCCATAAAATGTATATTCTTGGGGTATGCTGATGGAGTAAAGGGGTATCGCCTGTGGGATCCCACTGCCCACAAGGTTATCATCAGCAGAGATGTTATCTTTGTAGAGAACCAACTACAAAGTAAAGAGAAAGAAAGCAGTTCGAGGAAGGACTCAGAGACTGTAGCTGTTCAGGTAAAAGATAATTTGAAATCTTCTGAAGCAACACCGGAGCATGATGTACAAGAACCGGCCGAGTCCGAGACTCCAGAAGTTCGAAGGTCAACTCGTGAGAGAAGACCACCGACTTAACACTCGGAGTATATTACAAAGAGTAATATTGCATACTGTCTTCTAACAGAAGATGGAGAGCTATCAACTTTTCATGAAGCTATAAATGACACAGATGCATCTTTGTGGATGGAAGCAATGCAGGAAGAAATTAAAGCTCTTCATAAGAACAAGACTTGGGAACTTGTGTCACTGCCACAAGGAAGAAAGACCATTGGAAACAAATGGGTCTACAATATCAAGCGAAATGGCGATGATCAAGTGGAGAGAGATCGTGCTAGATTGGTGGTAAAAGGATATGCTCAGAAAGAAGGTATTGATTTTAATGAAATGTTTTCTCCTGTAGTTCGACTAACAACAGTCTGAATAGTCCTGGCTATGAGCGCTATATTTGACTTACATCTAGAGCAGCTAGATGTGAAAACAGTATTTCTTCATGGAGATCTTGAAGAAGAAATTTACATGCTCCAATCAGAAGGTTTTGAAGAAAAAGAAAAAGAGAACTTGGTTTGCAGATTGAACAAATCTCTGTACGGTCTAAAGCAGGCGCCGAGGTGTTGGTACAAGAGATTTGATTCATTCATCATGAGCCTTGGATACAACAGACTTAATTCAGACCCTTGTGCATATTTTAAGAGGTTTGGTGAAAATAACTTTGTTATTCTATTGTTGTATGTTGATGACATGTTGGTTGCAGGCCCCAACAAAGATCGTATAAACGAATTAAAGACTCAGTTGGCTAGGGAATTTGAAATGAAGGATTTAGGATCTGCAAACAAGATTCTAGGGATGCAAATTTACCGAGACAGAGTTAATAGGAAGATTTGGCTTTCTCAGAAGAACTATTTGAAGAAAATCTTGCAGCATTTTAACATGCAAGATTGTAAATCAATTTCTACCCCACTTCCTGTTAATTTCAAGTTATCCTCTAGTATGAGTCCTAGTAGTGAAGAAGAGAGGATGAAGATATTTCGAGTGCCGTATGCATCAGCAGTGGGAAGCTTAATGTTCGCAATGATTTGTACAAGACCAGACATTACACAAGCAGTGAGAGTGGTTAGTCGATACATGGCGAATCCTAGTAAAGAGCATTGGAATACTGTAAAGAGGGTTCTAAGATACATTCAGGGAACCTCAAATGTTACATTATGTTATGGGGGATCTGATTTTGTTGTTAGTGGATATGCTGATTCTAATTATGCAGGTGATCGTGATAATAGCAAATCCACCACAAGTTATGTGTTTGCACTTACTGGCGGAGCTGTAAGCTGGGTTTCAAAACTACAGTCAGTTGTGGCTACACTAGTACAGATTTTCGCTTGAATAGCGCTTAAATTTGGGCTTGGATAGCGCTTTTAAGCGCTATGCAAGCTACCGCTATGGTAGCTACAATAGCGCTTAAAAAAGCGCTATCCGAAGGCTCGACTATAATAGCGCTTTATAAGATAGCGCTTATAAAAGCGCTATCCAAGCATTTAAAAAAAAAATCGTTTGCTTCTATAGCGCATAAATAAGCGCTATTGTAGTTCAAAAAAAAAAAAAGCTATGATAGCGCTAAAAAAAGCGCTATTGAAGTTAGCTATTTGAACTACAATAGCGCTTTAAAAAGCGCTATGCCAGTTCCAAAAAAAATACTATATATTTACCCTATATAGTTTAAAGAAGCGCTAACTGAGTTTTTGCATCTGTTTTTTTAATTAATTTTTTTAATTTTTGATACCTAATTTTCTAGGTCTAAATATTTAAATACTTACATAAATAACGATTTTCTATCCATCAATAACAATCTAACAAAAGGACAAAAATAGTATCCATTCATACAAAATATATATAGTGCAATCATTCAGTCAAAACATTATATATAACTGTTAAAGTGGAAATACAAAAATTAGTTAGTAGCACAATCATAACTAATATCCTAAATGTTGTCCTTCAACTTGACATCTTGTCCTTGAGGAACCGGTTATACAAATATCCTCCCCAATTGAATCTAAAATTCTCCATCTTCATTGGAGGATAAAATTTGAGTGGCTGACTATGAACAAACTGTAAAACACAAAAGTATAAAATATAATTAGATGAAATAAAATACTTCAAAAATCAAGAATGTATAAGTAATTCATTAAAATCATTTCTTACATAAACAGGAATACTGGTATCACCAAAAGCCAAGATATATGTCCTCAATGAAGCAGCAAACATAATGACCACAATGAATGCCATCCATCTGTAGTATTCATCAGTACATGACACCAGCTTGTTAAAAAAGAAAGCATTGCTAGTATTCATCAATATCTTCATCTGTGAGACTGCAAGTATGAGAAGAGGCAAAATAAACAAAATTATCACAACTCATGAGATATAACAACAAAAATTCATAATGTGTAAAACTATTGTTACATACATGTAATCTGTAAGACAATAGTGGCTGAAAGACACACATAGCTTTGTTGAATAAATCATACAAAATGAATCTAGAGATAAAAAAAAAGTGTAATCCACCATTCATCGTTAGAATTTTTGACTCCCATCAGCTTCAGTACATCACTAAATAATTTTGGCACTTTTTGAATGCAATATAAATTTCTAGGCCGTGTAATGTACATGTATATTGTTCCTATTAAAGTATTCATGCAAAATCAGATATTACCCAGATTAATATGAGTTGGATTTATTAAATCCATAGCTTGATGTATAACCAACCACAAGGCAGAGTTACTTTATATTTACATTGGTAGCCAACTAAGGCAAGGAGAAAAATCATA